TTGCTACTGTTACGAGTCGTAGTGTAAATAGCTGTGTTTTCTGATGGTCTTAGGAGATTCCTGTGAGAGGGTCATTTGACAACCCTCCAAAGGGATAATGACTCACAGGTTGAGAACCACTGCTCTAGCTGTAGGTAACTCTGGGGTACATACAAAGTGAGTTCCAAGCCAACCTGGGCTATAGGACTCCATCTCAAAATAATAATCATTAGGATTTTTTTTTTAGCTGCATACACAACAAACAATATAAACAGACTCTGAAACCTCACAGATCTTAAGAAGTCTGAAAGTAGACCATATGTGTGTGTGATAATGATCTTGAAACAGTAGAGGAAAACTTATTCTCAAATTATGACAGCTAATTCAGAGGCAAGTCTACTGATGTCTGTAATTCACTACCAAAGAGCTCAACACAAACCTCAGAATTTTACACACACACACACACACACACACACACACACACACACACACACACACACACACACAGAGTACAGTGGCAGAATGTTAGTGATCCCTGAATCCAAGTGAAGATATTCCCTGTACCATCTTAACTTCTCTGGATGTTCGAGATTTTACATAATTAAAAATTAGGGGGAAAGGGATTACGTACATAGATTGGAATACAGTAATTGAACTAATGAAAGGCATTCGCCATAAAATAAATCTCAGAAATGTGCCCAGCCGAGGCTGCCAGGTCACATGCCTCAACATGATGCCATCTGAGTGAAACATGAGTCCCTGTGACATAACTCTGCCGCTTCAGGACACATGCTTCTTCCTATAGCAATAATAAACACAGACACACTGCAAAACAGACAGAGTGACCCTTCAGGCCATTCCCTTGATGGGCCAGGACGCAGGAGGTGATCACGGTTTGGGAAGAAGACAGGGACACCATCACCCTACCCACCCAGTGGACTCACCTGTGTCCCACTGACTCGGCTGAGCATCAGCAGAACGGCTTGACTGTCGCCGACGCCGGCAACTGCCCTCTGTCCTTTTGGAAGAAGAGCCGGAACTGCCATAACTGTACCGCTCAGGGGACACTGGGGAAAGAGAATGGAAGAAGTATTCCCACCTTCCCTACCTCCCAGGTCTAGCTCCGAGGAAGAAAGCCTGAACCATAGGATGCCTCGCCCTGGTCCCTCAGAGGTCACACTCAAACACCCACTCCTTCTCAAGCACCTCTCGTCCACAGGTTACTCAGAGGCCTCCCAGGACACAGTACCCATGGGGCTGCCTAACCCATGTCAGCAGCTCCAGCTGTCAGGCTTACTCTGTAGTCCCGGTTCCTGCAACACCCTACCTGCTCCTGGCCTACTCTGCAGCCCCCAAATGCAAGCATGCCTTTCTGCCTCTCTTCTAGAGCCTGGCCCTCAGACATAGTTTTCCAAAATCAGTCTATCCCTAGAGGTGCCCTTCTGTTTACGCAAATCCTACAGGCTTATTATGGGACAGGAAAGCTCATAATCACCCCTTCCCAACCGCCGTACTGTATCTACCAAGAAAGAGCCCAACCGCCTACCTATACACAGGCCTCCTGGTACCTGACCCCTCCCAGCTCTTCCCTTTCTGCCCAGGGATCAAGGGCCTCAACCCTGGAGACAGGACAGGCAGGTTTGAATCCTGGTCCCCTTACTTGCTACATTATGTTATGTGTGTGATGTATTTTCATGCTCCACACCATTTAAAACACCATCTTCTTCGAAGAGAATTCCTTCATCGTTACCCAGTTTAGGGCCACCTCCCCTCTTTTTGATCCATCTCACTCAATCTATGACTGTATCTAAAGCCAAGTTCCTTTTTTTTAATTATTAATTGACTCCCTCTACTAATGCAAGCTTCAGAGAACGGACATCTTGGTCTTATTTCCTTTGTGGCCAACATGAAGGATGCAGTTCTCACATGCAACAAGGTAACTTCTCTCAGCCTGCAGTTTTCTCCGTGCGGTAGCAGGCGATACGGTGACAGTTCACATGGAAGGTTTACCTCTGCCTGGCATACAAAGTGCCACACACAATCATTACTGATATGGCCCAATTCCACAGGTTCGCTCCTACCTAAGCCTGCCTTTTGAGTTTCTCACTTTAGAAAAGGGTTGCGGGGTGGGGGCTGAAATCGCTATCAGGGCACCACAGGGGCCCAGTTGGGAGCAAGGTGTTCTGGTCCCAGAAGTCCTGCAACCTCCCATTCAAACCTTACCTGGCCGGCGCCGCTTGCGGGCCAGATGTGGCAGTAGGTCGTGGCGGGCCAGCACGCGCAGGAGTTGGCTCAGCAGCCGCAGGTTGCTCTCGTCGCACTGCCCACGGCGTTCCAGCTCCAGAAGCAGCTCCAGGCCGCTGCGGGCGCGGGCCAGGCCTCCAGGGGCGCCGGGGGCCTCATCCAGCAGAAAGGCCAGGAGCTCCAGTTCGCACTCGGTCAGCTGCCCGCCCACCACCTCGAACATACGGTGAAGCGACAGCATGCCGTAGTAATCCAAACACTCATCCTCCTCCCAGCTCGGGGCCGGGGTCGACCCGGACAACGCCATTCCCAGGGGAGGGGTGCGGAACAAGCTCAGAACCAGGGCCTAGAACCCACACGGCGGGGAGGATGTCGTGGTCAGCGACGCGGTGGCCCACAGCCCACACAGGCCCAGCGTGTGGCCCCCGCGAGGTGACTCCGGGCAGGGTCGCCCCACACCCTCAACGGTCTCGGCCTCCCCCTCTCGCTGACAGGAATGGTATCGCCCGAGGTCCCCTAGTAACAGGTCGGGACGCCAGATCCCACCGGTCCACTGACCAGTCGGGCCGGCCAAGCCCAGACGCCCCTCTCCAGGTGGTATGTTCCGAACTTGCCACCGACCGACCCAGGACATCAGCCCCAAGGAGCCTCATGGCCCACTGCAGGGCACCTCGTCCACTGCCCGGTGACTCGGGGTGGCAAATGTCCAGCCGTGGCCCTGGGTTCTGACCACCAGTGCCTTCCAGCTAGCCCCAACGCCCCCACCCAAGTGGTACCGTGCAAAAGTGACCCTCGGACCTCTGCAAGTGGGACCCACAAAGACGGCCCCGAGCTCCGCTCAGGTGGTACCGTCTGAACCCGGCCCCTCGCCCGAGAAGGGCGATCTGTCCTGCCCTCACCCCAGCACCCAAGTGGCTCCATCTGCCCGCCACCAAACGCCCGAAGGCCTCTCTGGATCCTCACCAGATTCCGGCGTCCGATGACTCCCGGGCGACGGCCGCAGCCACTTGTTTTGAATCTTTCTGGCACCTTCTCTATTATTACGCCTGCGTCACCTCGCTCCTCCTCCTTTGCCCAACTCGCGCAGGTGCGACCGCCACGCCCCTACGGCGCAAGCGCAGAATGAGGCCGCCAAGCCCCACCCCGCCAGGCCGCCTGATCTGCCCCCCCCCCCCCAGCCCGAGCGTCCCTGGTCGCCCGTGCCGCGCTTGCGCAGCGGCAGCGCTTTGCCGCGTTGGGCACTCGATCGTGTTTTAAGTTTCGCCGTGTGTCCCTTGGATCCCACGACGTGACCTGTTGGAATTATCCCATAGACTACATCCCCCTCCTGATCACGACCTAAACGCCCACGTGACTAATGCCACCAGCTGCCGGCGCAAAGTACAGCAGAAACGACGGTCAGGGCTCCCAGGAGCTCGTAGAGCTAATAATCCGGACTTTTATTAAAGTACCACAACCCACCCCACGCCCCATTCTTAGGAATCTACACCTCAACTCTGCTGTCTCAGATCCTATCTGGAAATCCTCCCTCATCCAGCTCCCCAGCCCCAATGTATAAATCATTCCAGTCGCATGCACGAGAAAGATACCTCTTTGCAACAGACCCCTCACCCCTAGGTGCACATTCCGAAGACGTCCATCAGGACCTCCCATCACAGACACCCACACCCGGGGGTCGAACCGCTCGTCTATACAGTCTCTTTTTTTTCTCTGCCCTCTTGGGTCTCGGAGCTACTCAGAAGCTCCCCTAATCTGCATCTACGAGAGCAAGCCTGTCAGAGACGTGGAGGCTACAGTGTCTTCGAGTCCCCTACACGGGGCCTTGGGCGTGATGGCCGCTCCTCCTCCTCCTATACTTAGGTGACTCAAGGTCAGGGCCGGCACGTGCCTGAGACAGGTCTCTTCTCCGACTGATCTCCACCCCGGGAGTTATCTCCCTGAGAGGCGGGAGACCTTGGCTGGAAGCACCGGCTCTATACTGGCTGTTTCCTTTCTCTGGACCTTAGCTTTACCACCTGTGACACGGACGGCAGTGGAAACATAGTCCACTGTGTGCTGTGTGACTATCATTGAGTCAGCGAAGAATGACAGGAAGGGAAAGCCATTTATAAACGGGAAGGTTTCTATGATAGGTGGGTTATACTGGGTACCCACAGGGTATCGGGCCCTGAGCTGAACTTTTTTTTTTTTTTTTTTTTTTTTTTTGGTTTTTCGAGACAGGGTTTCTCTGTGTAGTTTTGGAGCCTGTCCTGGATCTCACTCTGTAGACCAGGCTGGCCTCGAACTCACAGAGATCCGCCTGCCTCCCAAGTGCTGGGATTAAAGGCGTGCGCCACCGCCGTCCGGCGAGCTGAACGTTTTTACCTATATGAAAATGTCCAATGCCTCGAATAGCCTTCCAGGCGGATGTGATTCAAGCCCACTTTACATATGAGTAAAACTGAGGCGGCCCAGAAAAGTACCTCAAGTGTGTCTGGCTTTGAAGCTATGCTTCAGAGACGCTCAGTCTCTTCCGCCAAGAGATGCTACCTGTCAAAGTCTCGCGTAGCCCAGTTCACTTATGCGACCTCGCTCTACAAGGATGCACACTTCTCTGAATTTTCAAACAGCAGGAGCAAGGAGCGGCACGGGAGAACTGCGCAGGCGCCTCCCCTGGACCCGGGCACCGCCCACAGGGCACTGGTGTCTGCGTGGAGAAACTCTGGAAGCCCCTCCTGAGGATCAACACGCAGGCGCAAGGGCGCGTGCCCTGCGCTACCAGCTCTGATTGGCTGCCTCGGGTGAGGGCGCCGCCCAATGGGAGGCGTGGATAGTGAGGGGTCCCACACGCCTGCTGCGGAGGGTCCGTGTCAAGAGCGGCAGGGGCTGCTTGGAGGTAAGAGAGATGGGTGAGGGCGCCGCGGGGCGGGCGGGGAAGAGAGCGCTAGGCGCAGGGGGAGAGTGGAGGAAGACGGAAGGGCACAGTAAGGGTCGGAGAGCCTTGGGGCCTGCGATTAGGGCTGGAGTAGCGCGGGATGATCGACAGCTCCTTCCTGTGTGCCCTGGAGGCGTCGGTGGAGCCCCTGGTGTGTGCAGGACCCAGCTTGAGCTCACTTGCACACACGACCCCTGCAGGGGGCCCTCACGCTGCAGAGGAGTCTGGTAGGAGAAAAGGGCAGTGTAGCGGGAAAGTTGAACTTTCCGGCCCCTGGTGGAGGTGCTCAGATCGACTTTCTGTATACAGAGGTTTAAGCTGAATTCCACCTACCCTGACTCAGTGTAGAATTGGGGGAAAGGAATGCAGGCAAGAAAAGTGGCAATTTCAAGTTACCTGGGCTACTTCCTAGAAAGACATTTCTTAGAATTGTGTCCGTGTTGTTAAATGAGTTTTGGAAGGGTTTTGTTTTTTAGATGAGATTCGTGGTGGATCGGCTCCTATGCACCATCTTTTTATTTGTGTGATCTCATCGGACTTTTTAAAGTTTGTCCATCCACTCCTTCCTGGTTCAAGCCAAGTAGCATGCTCTGATCCAACCCCCAGAAGTAGTTCTGTCTTGCCAGTAGGGATGTAATCAAGGCAACTTTCCACCTCCTGCCGCCACCACGCCCCATCCCCAGCCCTGTTTAACTGTTTTTAGAAAAATCCTTTTTGGAATGGTTCAAACCTAATGAGGAGCCAGGTGTAGTGGCACATGCTTTCAATGCCAGCACTGAAGAGGTAGAAGTAGGTAGATTTCTGTGAGTTTGAGGCTACCTGCTCTACATGGTGAGTTTTAGACCAGCCAGGGCTAGATGTCGCCAAACAAAACCCACTTAATGGGAGATTAGGAATTGGTAGATAAGGAAAGTTTAGCTCCTGGGCATTTAGCAAATCATTTATTCACAGAGCATTCATTGCGCATCAGCTAAAAACAGGGCCTTGTGCTGGGCTGTGCACTGTGGAAATGCATAGAATGGGAGAGTTGAGTTGGTAGAAGTGCACTGTGCACAGGGATGAGGAAGGTCCCAGCACCTCACTTCCTGTAGAGAGCCTTATTCAGTCACTGAATACTCACTCCTGTGTGCCTACTGTATGCTGGGCATTGAAAACATGTGCCTTTCTTGGCATTGGAAACACCTCAGTGATGAAGAAGCTAAAATTGCTGACCTCTGGGATCTGTCCATGAGCAGCTTCTATACCAGGGCTACCAGCGGAGTCTGCTTGCTTCAGACGCAAACGGAAGTGAGTAGGTAAAGAAGGTGGCCATCGGCACTTGGGAGGCAGAGGAAACAAGACTGAGAACCAGACTCTACTGTGTACATACTGAGGTCAGGGCCAGCCTAGGTACATACAAACTCCTGTTTCAAAAACAAAAACCAAAAGCAGGGGCCAGCAAGATGGCCCAGCAGGTAAAGGTGCTTGCCACACAACCCTGGTAACACAAGTTCAATCCTTGGAATCCACATAAATGTTGCAGGGAAAGGATGAACTCCACAAAGTTGTCCTCTGACCGCACATGTATGCCATAGCATGTACTCATACATACAGGCACACAGTAACATAAGCAAAAAATGGTGGGGGGGGGGCTTCAAGATGGTTCTGCAGGTAAAGGCAATTGACACCAAGGCTGATGACCTGAGTTTCGTCTCAGAACCTGCATGATAGGACCAAATCCTGCAAGTTGTCATCTTTCCTCTATACATTTGCCCTCACCTAATAAATAAGTGTAATAAAGTAAAAATAAACTGTCCTTTAAAAAGATGGGGATTGCCGGGCGGTGGTGGCGCACGCCTTTAATCCCAGCACTCGGGAGGCAGAGCCAGGTGGATCTCCGTGAGTTCGAGGCCAGCCTGGACTACCAAGTGAGTTCCAGGAAAGGCGCAAAGCTACACAGAGAAACCCTGTCTCGAAAAACCAAAAAAAAAAAAAAAAATGGGGATTGAACCGGGGGTGGGGGGGGTGGCGTGGCGGCAGCGGCGGCGCCCTTTAATCCCAGCACTCGGGAGGCAGGGGCGGGAGGATCTCTGTGAGTTCGAGGCCAGAGTGAGTTCCAGGAAAGGTGCAAAGCTACACAGAGAAACCCTGTCTTGAAAAACCAAAAACAAACAAACAAAAAAGATGGGGATTGGATCAGAAGGCTAGTTCCTAGGCTTAGGGAGGATTCATGAAATGGACTGTGAGCTCTGTTGTGTGAAAGGGGTTGAGACCAGACAAAGAGCGGAGAAAGTAGGGCACGGAGTGGCAGATTTGAGAAGTTTGGTTTGTTTTTCTTTCCTTTTTTTTTTTTTTTTTTTTTGTAGCCTTGGCTGCCCTGGAACTCGCTCTGTAGACCAGGCTGGCCTTGAACTCATAGAGATCCACCTGCCTCTCAAGTGCTGGGATTAAAAGCATGTACCACCACCACCCAGCCAGATCTGAGAGTTTTCTATCCTAGGTGCTAAGTGTGATAGTGCACACCTGTGATCTCAGGACTGGGAGGCTGAGGCAGAAGGATCACTTCAAAGCTATCCTCTACTGCATAGCGAGTTTGAGGCCAGCCTGGGCTGCATACAAACCCAGGTATTGGCTTTTGTTAACAAAGCACCTTAGTTTTGTGGTCAGTCCGTCTTTTAGTTCCATTTTACAGGTGAGAAAACTGTCTCAAGAGAGAGGAAGTAAAAAGGGAGAGCTCAAGAGCCAGGCAGTGGTGATGCATGCCTTTAATCCCAGCACTCAAGAGTTCGAGGCCAGCCTGGTCTACAGAGTGAGTTCCAGGACAGCCAGGGCTGTTACACAGAGAAAAAAAAGGAGCTCAGATTCAAGCTGAGGGAGGTGTAGTTTTCACTCTTTTAAATGCTTTGCCATGCGAGTATACCAGAACAGGAAAGGGGTTGCACAGAGAGGAAACCTCATGGGCAAAGGCTGAGAGGGGTGTGTGTGTGTGCGTGCGCGCGTCTCTGAGGGAGCAGCATCAGAGGCCAGGCTCCAGAGTACCCACTCTGTCTTGCAGATACCCTCCTGTAGTAGCTGCGACAGGCTGAGACTTGGGATCATGAAAGACTGAGGTATAAACATTGAAGTAAGACTTGATTGACAGACGGGTGAGTAATGGAATGAGCAAGGGAACGCCTGCAGACATCCCACTCCCCTCGGGCTCCTGGCGTACCACTGGCTCCTGCCCCTCTTTCTCCAGGCACTGCCTTCCCCAGAATGGCAGAGATGGTGGCAGAGGCAGCTGAGATGCCAACACAGTCACCGGGATCAGTGGAAATTTCAACCCCTGTGTCAGGAGCGCTGGCAGAGCTGGCAACAGCAGTGACTGAGATGACCCCTGGGGAGGCCCTTGCCTCGTCCCTCTTCTTCCAGCACCACCAGTTCATGTGCTCTGAGTGTGGCAGCCTCTACAACACCCTGGAGGAAGTCCTCTCCCACCAGGAGCAACACCTGCCCACCATGGCAGAGGAGGAGGTGATGACTACCCAGGACACGGGCCTGGAGCCTGAGCTAGTGCCTGGCACTGGGGAGGGACCTTTCCAGTGTGGTGAGTGCAGCCAGCTTATCCTCTCCCCCAGTGAGCTCCTGGCACACCAGGATGCCCACTTGCAGGAGTCTGCAAGCCAGATCCAGTACCAGTGTGGAGACTGCCAGGAGCTCTTCCCCTCACCGGAGCTGTGGGTAGCTCATCGAAAGACACAGCACCTTTCCAGTACAGCAGATGAGCCTCCAGTACTGCCTCCTTTGCCTCCCCCAACACCGCCACCCCCGCCAGCAGAAGTCAAGATGGAGCCCTATGAGTGTCCGGAGTGCTCCACCCTCTGTGCCACCCCTGAAGAGTTCTTGGAGCATCAGGGCACTCACTTTGACTCCCTGGAGAAGGAAGAGCGCAATGGGTTGGAGGAGGAGGAGGAAGAGGAGGAGGAGGAGGAGGAGGAGGAGGAAGAGTCAGATGAGGAAGAAGCCGCTGCAGAGCTCACTGCTGATGATATGGGAGGTGACAAGTCCACAGCCGATCCAGCTCAGAGCTGTGGGGATTGTTCCCAGCACTCTGCCTCTTCAGGTGCACGCCGCCGACACCGACGGGCGTCTCGTGGCCTAGCGTCTGCCACCCACCCCTACCACTGTAGCCAGTGTCAGCGCAGCTTCAGCTCTGCCAACAGGCTGATGGCGCATGGACGGGCCCATGTGGGTGGTACCCATGAATGTACTACCTGCTCCAAGGTCTTCAAGAAGGCGGCCTCTCTGGAGCAGCACCAGCGGCTGCACCTCGGGGAAGCCCGCTACCTCTGTGTGGACTGCGGCCGTGGCTTTGGCACTGAGCTCACACTGGTGGCCCATCGGCGAGCCCACACTGCCAACCCATTGCACCGCTGTTGCTGTGGCAAGACCTTCAGCAACATGACCAAGTTCCTTTACCACCGGCGAACTCACACTGGGAAAAGTGGCACCCCCACCAGGGTAGCAGCTGTCTCCCCAGCTCCGGCTGAGCCCACGCCCCCACCTCCACCTCCGCCTGCCCAGCTGCCCTGTCCACAGTGCCCCAAGTCCTTTGCCTCAGCCTCCCGGCTTTCCAGGCACCGGCGTGCAGTGCACGGCCCCCCTGAACGCCGGCACAGGTGCGGGGTTTGTGGCAAGGGCTTCAAGAAGCTGGTCCATGTGCGCAACCACCTGCGGACACACACAGGCGAGAGGCCCTTCCAATGTCACTCCTGCGGCAAGACCTTTGCTTCTTTAGCCAACCTCAGCCGCCACCAGCTGACCCACACAGGCGTGCGTCCCTACCAGTGCCTGGACTGTGGCAAGCGCTTCACACAGAGCTCCAACCTACAGCAGCACCGGCGGCTACACCTACGGCCGGTGGCCTTTGCACGTGCCCCTCGTCTTCCCATCACTGGTCTCTACAATAAGAGCCCCTACTACTGCGGAACCTGTGGCCGCTGGTTCCGCGCCATGGCAGGCCTGCGACTGCATCAGCGGGTCCATGCCCGAGCCAGGACTTTGACACTACAGCCTCCCAGGTCACCCTCTCCTGTCCCACCCCCACCCCCTGAACCTCAGCAGACCATCATGTGCACAGAGCTTGGAGAGACCATCGCCATCATTGAGACTTCCCAGCCACTGGCCCTGGAGGATACACTGCAGCTGTGCCAGGCAGCACTGGGTGCCAGTGAGGCCAGTGGACTGCTGCAGCTGGACACCGCCTTTGTGTGACAGAGTGCAAGAGAAATGATGGAAGGTTCGCTTACAAGATTGAGTATGGGCACCTCGGGAGAAGAGGACCCCTCTGGTGAGCTAACCTGGCACCCACATGGCAGAATCCACCCTGCTGGCCTCTTGTAACTGCTGACTCCTCAGAACAACCCTGCCAGGTTTCTCCTGTCACCTTTCTCTGCCCAAGGTGAAACTGAAGCTCTGTGAAGAGATGTGATCTGTCTCAGCCCCTGTTGCTTTGTTGCAGAAACAGGGTTTGCCAAGGCTCTTTGCACAGCATCACCCAGTGCTCAGCAACACCAGGTAACCTTTATGAGCACCAACCATATGCCTGCCAGGCCTGTGCCACACACTCTCATATACCTCTTCAGATCTGCTCGTAAACCCACCCCCACACACACCTTTCCCTGGACTTTGGGTGCCTGGGACTTAGCTCTGCTGGGTACAGGAAGGCACGTAGTTTCTCTGAGCTTGCTTTTTCTCAGTGTTGACAATATGAAAAGAAATCTGTAGGTACCCCCAGTACTCAGCTCAGATTGGGTGATGATGAAGACCTAGGAATGAACCAGACACGGCTCTGAACTCAGGCGTGCTCAGTCCAGCAGGAGCAACAGACTGAAGTACAGTTTGTCTGAGTGCTGCCACTAGTTCTTTCAGCCTCTGCTCAAGGCTTCCCTCACACGTGCCGTGGTGCTACAGGCCAGTGGCAAGTCAGGCCTCAGGATCTCTGGACTGATGGGAAAGTGTAGGGACAGTGGGATCTGAGAATAGGGAGCAAGCCTCCACAGGAGATGATCAGGAGTGAGACTCCTAGTGGCCCAGTTCCTGAAGTAAAAGCAGGAATCTGCCAGTGGAAAAGAACATTCCAGACAGGACATCCAGTTACAGTTGCAGTGAACACCCGACTGCCTGGCATTCTGAAGCAGGACACTTAGCATTGTCCATCAGGCCGGAGGCAGAACCTGTGTATCATCCCTCTTGTATAAGTAAGGAAACAGGAAGTCTCAAATTGTGAGATTTGAACGCAGTTCTTAGGACCATCTGTATTGTTCTGAGTAAGATCTAAAGCCCAAAGATGTCACATGTCCGGGGTTTATTCCCCTGGAGAAGGCAGTGTCATGGAGCATTTGGGATTTGAGGGGCCTTGGAAACAGGAAGGGATCCTGTTTTTCATAGGGTGTCCTTCCCCTCCCTAAGATGAATATAGGAGACCAGTGGCGCAGGGCTCCCCCAGACCTTGGCAGACCATGATGCTCCAACAAGAGAAGCAGAATGTTGCTGGGGCTGGGCATTGTGTGGGAGATATGCCCAGGCTTTGGAAGTTGGGGTGAGTCGTTGAAGGCATGTCACAGAGAGGGTGTCATGTCTCCCTGGATCAGAGCAAGAAGAGTGTGAGGCTGGCAGTGGTCCAAGAGAGGATGAACAGAATTGAGTAGGGACTTTAGGGTCAAGTTGGTAGACAATCCCAGTGACCATTGAACGAGTAGGTCCATCCCTTAGCCCAAGGCAGCCATTCCCACCCTACTTCATAACTGACTTGAGCAAAAGGACAAGGTCTGTGCTGCAGGGTAGACAGGTACCCCTGGGGCTGATGGAAGTGTCTAGCAGAGCCCAGAAATCTTAGAATCCCTCAAGGATATGTTTCAAAATTCCTTTCTGTGCATCAGTAGACTCCATCAGGAGGACCCAAAGTTGTTCCCTCCCTTTCTGGAGCCTCCTACCCACTCACCGCTTGGCACCATGTGGAGATACCATTTCCTTCTGCCCATGGTCCCCACCATCTGGCTCCAGCATATTTTAAAAGTCAAGGGGAAAATCCAGGCAAGGTGGCACAAGCCTGCAATCACAGCATTTGGGAGCCTAATGCAAAATCATCTCCAGTTCCAGGCAGACTTGGGCTATAATTGGAAGACCACCTCAAAAAAGAGAGAAAAACTAAGCTCTCTACCTCCACCCTCCCGAGGCTGCAACATCCCTAAGAGAAGTGAAGCAAGTGTTTCAGAGTTAAGCCCTGGGAATCTGCCTGTCCATACATACCCACCCCACTGAGTTTACAGACAGACATTTAGCCTTAGAGACTCATCATCCAGGGTCCCATTTGGACCCTGCAGAAGACATCCCTTTGTTCAAGTCCTGACTTTGCCTCTTACGTTCTGGGGTTTCAACCACTCTGAACTCCAGTCTCACTGATCACCCAGGACATTCACCCTTCCCCAGCTGAAGCAGCTGGTTTGTGCGAGGTCATGGGCAGGTCCCACATCTGTGGTGGATAAGTACTAGTGCTTTAGGGGTTTCCAGCCTCTTGGTGTCCCCCTGCCTAAGGTACAACTTATTCCAAACCCTGAACCCCCTCACCTCTGTGGAAACAGGCAGCCAGACAGGAAGAAGGGTTTCATGCCAATAATTTATTGAACGGAGGTCTGTACACAGGCAAACCTTACTGTGGAAACTAAGACACCAGGGGCTCTTCCCTACTCCCTCCTTCCAGGATGGGGAGAGGGTGGAAGCCTTGGGAGCAGAGGACAAGAGGGGGGTACAGCTGAAGGGGGGCAGGTTGGATGGTGTGAATCGACGTTTTTCTTTAAGAAAAAAATTATAACAATCTATTTACACCCAGGGGGCCAGGGAAGGGAAGAGGAGGTGGGCTGGGCTGGTTCTATTTACAAGGGACATGGGGGGGAGGGGGAAGGAGTGGTAGCCTGGGGGAGGGGAGGGGATCAAGGGGGTAGAAGGTCCTCATACCCCCAAATCCCCTGTCCATCCTTCTCTTCCCTCCCCACAACCAGTTAAAATCCTCTTTAAAAAGCCCCCCACAAAGGTGAGGCTGGTAAGGGAGGGAGGGCCTAGATGTTGGGGGTAGGAGTTCATTTACCTCTGCCCTCTAGTCTAGGGGCCCAGCCAGGGCAGGAGCTTGATGGGCTATGGCCCCCCTTCCCAGCCCCACTTGGGAGTTCCCAGATGGATGTGGAGGGGTAGTTGGTGGGGCCCTCAAGAAGAGTTAGCGAGGGTAGGTGTGGCATCAGGTGCCTGCCAGTCTGGGCCGGTTTGAGTCTCAGTTAAAGCTGAAGAAAGAGGGGAGGAGTGGACAGTTAGCCTTTGCCTTGTACCCCACCCCGTGCCCATGAGAGCACACCTTCCTTCAAGACACTATGCAAGAAGCTGACAGCTGTCACTTCAGGTGCAGGGCTACAGATTCAGATGCCAAAGGGCCAGCTTGACACTACAGTGGCTCACATCAGGGAGCCACCCTCCACAGGAGAAGGGGGCAGCTGGATAGAGCTCCAGCTGCTGTCAGGAGAAAGGCAGACCAGCGCTGCCTAATCCAATTTTCTTCCCCAAAGGAATGGGAAAGCTGGGTTTTTAACCAAAATGGCCCAGTCTTTAAATGTGGGCAACTTTCTGTGTATTTGTTCAGACCAAGAAATGTTTGGTCGTCTAGTTGGCACTTAAATGTGGGCAGTACTGCCCTATAAAGCTGGCTGCTGACATACTGTAAAATGCGCCTTCTGTGCATCAAATGTCAACAACTGAAAACCTGTAGGAAACTGCTGTCACCAAGGACAGCCCCCACTTCACATGCGCTGCTTTAGCCCTCAACACGTGCTCCCTAGCTTACCTTGTGAGGACGAGGTGAGGGCAGCAGGGCCTGCTGGGGTCCTCAAGTGAGGAGGGATGAGAATGGCGTTGAGAGACGGTTGGATGGAGAGCTCTAGACACAGGGATTCACATGCCCAGTCAGGGAGAGGCAGGGCATTGGAAAGCCAGCTAGGGTTAGGATGGGGTACCAACAGGGACCCAGTTATGGCAAGGCCAGGTGGTTAGCCACAGGACTCTTAAGTGTAAAACTGGAGAAGGCCTTGGCATCCAGCTACAATGTGGAAACATCTGGCTGAGCCCAGGGCCGCCCTATACTCTCAGCTCCCAGTCCTGTCCCTCCACATCCCCCAACAACTCCTCAAGGCCCAAGCTGTGCTCTCACCACCAGGGCTGAAGTTGAAGAGGGGGGGAAGCGGGCGGTTGTTGGGGAGCTGGGTTCCGAGACACCGCAGTTCATCAAAGAAGCTGTGGGCACAGGCCTCTAGTGGGGAGAGCCTCGAGGATGGAGTGTACTCCAGCAGACTCGAGCAGAGCGCGATGGCCTCAGGTGGTGTCCGGGATTTGAACACCTGTGGGCAGAGTTCAGTGGGTGGGTGCTGTGGCACCAGTGTGGTGTGCCTCAGTGCTGCCTGCCTCCCTGACAGTCCAACTCCCCAATAAGGAAACAGGCATAAACACTGAGCTGGGTTTCCTGGCCACTACATAAATGGGAATCTTGTATTTACCTATGGGTTCTCAACTTTTAAAATTCTATAAACTTCAAAATCTCAAAGTGTTGTTGACTGACTCCCTGGATAACTTCAAGACCCCCCCCCCCTCGTCATAACTTATTTTTATGTCTTAGATCTGTTTATTTTACTTTATGAATGTTGTGCCTGCCTGCATGTGCCTTGACCACCTGCATGCCTGTAGGATCCCCTGGAACTGGCTTACAGGTAGTTGTGAGCTGCCACGTGGATGCTGGGACTGGAACCCAGGTCCTCTGTAACAGTAACAAGTGCTCTTAACCACTAAGCCGTGTCTCCAACCCCACAAGCCATGATTTTTAAGCCAGGTCCCCAGAGCAGTTGGCCTCCAAGGGGACCCACCCTTTCAGCCATGCTGTGTATGTCCCTAGTTCTGCTACCTTTGTCCAGGGGTGAGCTTTGATCTGCGGGAACTTGAACTCTGTGTAGTTGGGGTTCATCTCTCGGATTTGTTCCCGGGTTGGTGTTCCTAGTACCTGTAAAGGAAAGGGAGGGGTGTGAGACAAGGGCCCTTTCCTAGGCCCACCCCTGCCCTCCCTGGCTCTGCCCCTGCCTTCACCTTGATGATCTCCACAAGCTGGTCCACCCCACTGTCCCCAGGGAAGATGGGCTGGCCAAGCAGCAGCTCAGCCAGTACACAGCCAGCCGACCACACATCTGAAGGGAAGGGTAGAGGTTCAATACTAGGCAGCCCGAGCCACCAAGCCCACTCCTTTGCGCACACTGCTCTGCATGGCTATCTCAGAGGTGCTGGCCCAAGACCATACCCAGTGTAGGAACACTGGAGCCTGATCCTCAACTTCCAGGGCCACTTGGTTCAGCTGTGCTTAAACAGCCCCCATGCCCTCTGTGAGTGACCCCAATGAACCCTTTAAATCCTTCT